TTCGAAACGACAGACCGCCGCGTTGCAGTCGTTCGGATGCTCCGATGAGGCCCATGTTTCTCTGTTGACCGAGCCTAGTTGCGCCGGCCGGGGGTTTGTGTTGTGGGCAACGTGAAGGAAAACGCGGTGAGATGGGCAACTCAATTTCGGGGAGAGCAGAAAACGGCATCCGGAGCGAAGCAATTGTGGCGATGAGGAGGGATCTAGAAACAAGGAAGTGTCATGGAATCAAGAAAACAGTAGAGGTTGTGCGAGCGAGGGAGGATGTATGTCAATCACGCGCGCAGTGGAACTTGAGGTAGTGAACAGACACGGAAGGAAGAATGCGCCGTGAGGTACCTGCCGTTTGTGAAGGTCAAAACTTTGGGAAACGACCTGGATGTCCGGCGCATCATCGTCACACCGAGCCACGGAAGACAGGTACTTCCTTCTCCACTTGAAATTGCGGAAGGTCAAGGTACCTTGTCACTCCGTGCACTTGCATCTACCGGTGTAAGGGAACCATCCAACAACTTCGACAACTTGCAACTTTTGATCAAATAGCAAGCGCATCCGCCCTGCAGCATACTCGCCCACCTCGCCTCGATACCTAGGTGGTAGCCTTTGTCTCGCTCTCGCTCGCTCATGAGTCTGGTGCCATCCGTCATCGGTTCCCCTCCCTTCGTCCGCTCGTCGCATCGCCATCGCCATCGCCATCATCATCACCTGTCTTTCGACCCCTCAATTACCTCACATCTTTCGAACCATCCCTAGCAATAGCGTTCATCAAGCCGCGGGTGTCTTGGGCTTCTCCGAGGTAGTAGATAGCGATTTCAACCCTCATCACACCCTCTCGGAATCCATCATCACGAGCCCAGCAGCCCTCCGTCCAAATAGGAAGGCCAATAATCTTGCAATACCACCACGGCGGAAACACGGCGCTTGTCTTGAATTAACGATATCGACCGAGGGATGCCACACGGTTCCTGTCCATCCACACACCACTTACCCTCTGCTCCTGTCTGCCGCGTGCGCTACCTTACCTTACCTTACCTCACGACTCGCGACTGGGACTTTGGAACGAAACGAGAGACTGACAATAAGGCTGGCAACCAACAATCTTCGGTTACAGACTCCTTGCCGGCTCAATTCCCGCCATTGCTTTACCAGGATCACCCATTGACTGCCTACCGAATATTCTTAGCCTTGCAGCCACCTCCCGCCAAGATTGCTTTTTGCGACCTCCAGAGCAGTATTCCTACATTGTCGCTGCTGCTAGCTGCTATAGCGCCCCAGGGATCGACCGTCAGCTGATACCGAGCTTTCCCCCATTGCGGAAGGGGAAAAAGAAACCACCTCCCACGGTCTGGATACATCAAATCTTTCTGTACCAGAAGCTGTGTTCCGTCACCAGGGACCATCCCGTTCGCCTGTCCTTTGCGACGGCGCCTTTGCGCTGTTTTCTCCCCAGCAAGTCAAAGCGGCCGAGACCTGCTTTGGGTCTGAGCCTTGGTGACCTGAACCGAGACCTGTGCGGGTAGCAGCGACTAGCAAGGCATCGCGGCGGTGGAGGGTGCGGACTCACCGGTTGTGTATCACCAAAAAAATCCCCAACTTCGAACACTGCTCCTCTCTCTCTTTTTCCTTCACCTCCCCTTTCCTTCTGTACACCTCTCTCTCAGCCTTCTCCCCGCCCATTCGAACACTTCGACGACACTCCTTCGATCCGATTCTATCCTCTGATTTCGAACAATACGACGATACACTCTACCCGTTGCGACGTCACCGAAGCCACAGGTATCGTAATAGTCTTTGGCCAGTCTGAACTCAATTCGCCCACGCGCTGAGCTCGCAGCCCGATCTATCAGCAATGATCTCCGTTGGCTCTACGATATCATGACTTTGCGCGCGTTACCATCGCCCAAACAAAGGCTACATCACTTGCCAGCTCCGAGCCACAGCCCATGCTATTCGTCGCGCTCGCATCCGCAGCTGCACCTCTCGCCTTCGCCCCCGACTGTCGTCAAACCCCTCCTCTCCCTCGAACCCCACCTCCGACAGGGACAATACCCCGAATCTCGTCGCCGCCGCCGCCGTAGTGCCGCACGGCAATCATCCATCATCGAACATAGACAATCCCAACGCGCAACGACCTCAACCTCAACCGCAAGTCTTGCTTTCGCCCAGCTGCGCACGGTGCGCTGCACCGAGCCATGTCGACCACCCAAGCCAATGCAGTGCCGGACACGCAATTAGGGTTGAGCTATGAAGAGATACAGCTACTGCGTCAAGGACAAGCGGCACTGGGCCAAGGAACAGGCGGAGGCGGCTCGAATTCGTCGCGGGCAGCAAGTCGCGCGTCAAGCCAAGGACTGCTGCTGCTGGACAGCACCTCATTGGCAGCTCTAGGACGGTACTTTGACCGGGTCATGAACCAGATCGAACAACAGATCATCTACCTTAGCGAACAAAGCCAAATGTTCACCATGGCCCAATTTGACCGAGCTGGCAACCTGATCGAGGGTGCTGACGCCGAGATCCAGCGGTATCACGAGCTTCTCCGGCAACTTGACGAGTTGGAACTCGACTTTGATCGAATAAGGCATATCAAAGAGATTGTACGAGGTTACCGATCACGAGTCGAAGAGATGGAGCGTGAATTGGAACGGAGTGGCTCGTCCTCCCGGCACAGAGAAGGCCATCATTCCCACCGGCATGGACACTCGCATAGCCACCGGCATGGACACGAGAGTTCTCGTCGACACCGACACTAAATAATTTCGCGTACGCACAACGAAAGAAATTGCGCCTCGGGAGCTTCAATGCCAGACTGGAAAACAACCACATCAAGCGTATGTGAACAAATGTTGAAGAATGGCAACAGGAGCGTGTCTCAAAATTGAGGTGGAGTAGAATATATCGGTCACACGACCGCCACAGGATCTCACAAGGCTCAAAGGTTGGCTCGATAACGTTTTACCCCGGCGGGAACATACAGCACCGCGGGATTGAATTTACGGGCCCTGACGAAGAGCAGCTCTATATTATCCGGTCGTGCGAACTAACGGCCATTGGCGGTCCCAAGACGGAGAGCCTCGCGGCTGGACAAGATGGAAAAGCCTCACGGCTCGGTGGTCTTATTTCAAGGCGTTTGATTTCTTCGGCTTTTCTCTTATTAAAACAGCGGGGATTGTCTCGGTGCTTCACGAATGCCTGTTTGGCTGCTATCGGGAGGCGTTGCGCAATTTTCTCAAGCTCAAAATACCCATCTTTTCTACTGTGTACGGAAAACCCAAAGCTAAGCCTCGCGGCATTGTACATGATCTAGGTACATGGATCATGTTGGCATACTCGAGTTCTTTCTCGAGGTTATGAGTTACGTCTCTTTCCTTAGTCTATGAATTCTTGCCCTGAGGGCGACAGGTATCTATCCACCTATGGGACGAACATCGTCATTTACCAATTTCAATTGTATCAAAAAGTATAGCAAGTTTTCGCTATGAGCTCATAATACACCTTTTGTCCAAAGGACACTTTCCACGGCACAGACCGGGCGCTTAGCCAGGGGGCAGGCACACACACACTCTCTGGTTTCAAAAGCCCCCCCTTCGAAATGAGGCAACTCTCGATCGCAACTGCGAACTACTTTGGGCACACATGTTGGGCGACGAGTGCGCATTATTCGCCCGTCCTTACGACCCATTGATGCCTTGGCACTTGCCATTCCTCTTGTCTCTTCCTCCGCTGGAGCCGATCCGACCTTGGACAATTGCTTGCGAGGCCATTCGTTTTGATGGGAGAATGCCGGTGCCCCCGCCCTCTTGTTGATTTCCCCCCTTTGTCGGCGACATCTCCATCTCCGTGGCATGGGTACAACGTCAGGCGAGGGACAGCAGAAGGGAAATAGGACAGCGTGAGGGAATTAGCACGCAAGGTTGGTGCGCTATTTTCTTTTTCTTTTACTCTGGCTTCAGCGGTGCTGCTATTGAGTATCAGGCACCATGGTCTCAGTGCCCTCTGCCTGTGGTGTCAGGAAATCTACCTTACTCGTACCCAGAAGAAAAAATCATTGATTGCGATTATGCACATATGAATTTGTATTCGAGGATAAGATGTGATCCATTGAAGCTTCTCCTCGGCTGTCTCTACGCCATGCCGCCGACGACTCCTGACCGATACGTGAAAATTCGTTTTGTTAGAACTCGCCATCGCTAGAACGACCTTCTCCTCTAACCATTCATCAGAAAGTCAATTGTAAAAGAATTTATATGGGAGTCCATGTCGAGGAGATCCATGGCCGAGCTTGACGCCGTGAAAAGCGTGCTTGTGCTCAGAGCGCGATGAAAGTTAGTATGCAAGTCCTCCCACAGAAGTAACGAAGAGCCGATGAGCCTGCCCAATACCTTTTCCCATTGCTCTCATTGCTCTAACTACATTGGCAAAGGGGTCGATTACGGAGGGACGAGCGTTCTGTGCTGCCGGTTTTCTTCTCTTCTGATGAGATGTATCGTCGTTTCCTGCTGGGGTAGTAGCAGCCCCCCGAGTTGAGCCAGCTGTTGACAATTTCTGGACCCCGGTCGGGTATGGTGCTTTCTGTGCATGTTATAGAATCCCCTTTATCCTCATGTGCAGATTCTCTTGCTGCTATCTGATGATTGGACTTCATGCTATATTTCACCGTCGTGAGCTGTGAGTTCAAAGAGGATGAGGGGAACGCGTATGTTGAGTCTCACGAGAATGGACATGTTCTTGCCCCCACCTGAGCATCTCTCAATACTTAATTACCCGACTCTCGAGGAGGTACCGACTTTGAGGGGTTGTTGTGTCTTGTTTCCTTTTCAAGATATGTGTTAGATAACAAAGTTGATAACTCACATGCCCTCGAAGAACACTAGAACGGGCCAAGATTTGTCGGTGCAGATTTTGATATCTTTACATAGCTTGAGACTATAATGTGACTTCCATACTTCTATAGTGAGGTCTTGATATTAGAGATGCTTGAAGATATACGTCCACCGCTCTCAAGCTCCCCGACTATCCCAAAGACTCCGAAACCGCGATGCCCGACCCATCAACTCCTCCGGCCTGCCTACCTCCACCACTCGACCCTCATGCATCACAACAACGACATCATAACCAACAATAGCCTCCAACCGATGCGCAACCTCAACAACAGTAACACCAGCCTCCCCAAACTCCTCATCCAACACCTTTCTTACCTCCTCATCAGTAGCATGATCAACGTTACTCGTCGCCTCGTCAAGCAACACAATACCTGCCCCACGCGAGTGCGTCTTCAACACCGCTCTCGCGAGGCAAAACAGCTGCTTCTGTCCCGCGCTCAGCCCCGTCGCAGACATTTCCGCGCCGAGACCGCCCCGCGCTTCAATGAGTTCCCAGACCTTCATCTTGCGCAAGACGGAAATCAGATCCGCGTCGGGCGTGTGAGCTCCGGGGTCAAGGTTCTCGCGGACGGTGCCTGGTAGGAGGACGGGATCCTGTGGGAGTGTAGTGAGGGATGTGCGGATGGCGGAGCGGGGGAGGGTTAGGAGGGAATGAGAGGCAATTCGGAGGTCTCCTCCTCTTCCTTCTTCTCCCTCTTCTTCTTCGTGCTTGAGATCGAGTAGACGGAGGAGTGTGAGAAGGAGGGAGGATTTGCCGGAGCCCGAGCGACCGCATATACCAACCTTTTGACCCGGCTGTATCGTTAGTGATACATTCCTTATGATAGGGTCAGTTTCGTCTCTAGATAGAATGTTAGTCCGTAGTATGACGAGGCATCGTTGAGGGACTGCAAATGCAACACTTACCTATAAGCAGCCGTCACGTTTTCAATCTCAATCTCCCCACTCCCAGGCCAAGCCGGCGGCATCTTATCCGTCTCGCCATCACGGTCCTCGCGCGGGGTATACCGCACAAAGTACTTCAACCTCGCAATCGCACCAAGGCTCGTCTCCAGCATTGTCCACATCTCGATAAAGTCGCCCAACGTCTGATTAAAGTTGATAATATTCACCATTGCGAGACCAATGGCGCCCATGGTCGTAGCGTTCGTAAAGTACAGCGCAAACGCCACGAGCACGACAGCCATACCCGCGATAAAAAGGTCCAGCACGACGTTGAGCCAGCGCTGGACGCAGAAGAAGAGGTAATACGGCCTCTGCGAGGCGTCGAGCAGCGTGTGGTTCTCGCGGAGCATGGCGGGGGACCAGGCGAAGGCGCGGATTGTCGGTAGGCCCGCCAGGACCTCGGAGAAGTGGGTGAAGAGCGGGGATTTGGCTTCGAGGTCGATATGGCGGAGCTGGCGGGAGGTGCGGAGGTAGTATTTCTGCAGGAGGTAGAGGGCGAGGAAGGACGGGGGGATGAGGGCGGCGATGTAGGAGCTTCCCGTGGCGATGATGGCGGTCTCGGCGAGGACGGTGAGGAAGCTGTGGATGGTGGCCCAGGCGGAGATGGGGAGACGGTGGTCTATGAGGGCCATGTCTTGGCTGAAGCGGTTAAGGGTCACGCCGCTGTCTGTTGTCGTGAAGAAGTAGAGGGGTGCGCTTGGGATGGGTTAATTATTGATGAAAAGAGATGCGAAGGAGACCGGTCAAAGGATTCAGGGGTGGGAAGGTTCTTACGCGAGAACTGCTTTCAGGAGAGTTTGATGGAGGTGATTCGCGGATCGGGGGATGGCGAGAAGCATCCAGAAACTTGAGAAGTCAGCAAGATGAGAAAGCTCGATGAACTGGAAGTCGAGAGACTCACCCTAGTGCTACACCGTTGAGAACGATGCAGATGAGACCAAACATGACGTAGATGCCAAAATGCATGGCCGGCCGGTCATTCGTGCCGTGTTCAGTCCAGATCCGCAACCAGATTTCTACCAAACCAGGTTAGCCATGCAGCTCCTTTCGCATGTGATCATATTTGAACAAAAGGGGGAGACTGACGAGGCATCTTTGTGAAAGCAACAAACAAGACATTGAGAATGAGGAACACAATCAAGATGGGCCATCCAATAGAGTTGAGGTACATGCGGTAGCACTCGGTGTCACCTGTCTGCCTCGTCAGCTCGGCCTCCGTGGCTCCGGAAGCAACGGCGACGGGCCGATCCGCTCTAGTAGGCTTCGAGTCTTTGGCGAAGCCCTCGGTCGGTTCGACGTGCTCCTCGGAGTCTTTGCCTTTGGCCTCTTCCTCAACGAGATGACCCCATGCGGAGCGCGGGATAGAATCGAAGGATATTTGGTTATGTAGGATGATGCCATCTTGAATCATGGTGATGTAGTCGGCCGAGCGGAGGAAGTTGACTGTGGGCTTGTTAGTCACATATCTTGGACACTGGGCTGTCATCTTAAACCAGGCTCACCATGATTAGTCGCGAGAAACACCGTCATGCCCACTTGACGGAGAAGCCCATCCGGACCAAGAAGGCGCCGGAAAACAGCGTTGGAAGTTGAATTATCAAGGCCGCTGAAGACGTCGTCGAGGAGAAGCAGTTTTCTGCGCGAGTAGACGGCGCGAGCTAGAGCCTGTTACGATTCCGTGTGAGCCAATTAGTACAAACACGATGATACCGCTCATGTCAGTTAGTAAAGTAGGCAGCAAGAACTCACCACCCTCTGCTTCTGACCGCCGCTTAGTGCTACACCACCCGTGCCGACAATGGTATCCTCAGCCTCGGGGAACAATGCAATATCCTCGTCAAGCGCGCAGGCGTGCACAACGGCAGAGAACCAGGCCTGGTCGAAAGGCGTCTGGCCGATTATGTTTGCCTTGATGGAAACGTTGCGCAGCCAAGCAGACTGGTCGCAAAAGGCGACAGACGAGGTGTGAAGCGTAGTGCTGCCGGTCGAGATGCCAGTTTCTCCTAGTATGGCTTTCAGTAGCGATGACTTTCCGCAGCCTACGCGTCCGACGAGCATTGAGATGGTCGTTTGTCGGAGGGTGAGAGATACGTTCTTCAGAATCTCGGTGCCGTCTTTCAGAACCAGTGTCGCATCACTCACGGTGACCACGGGCTTGTTGGTATTGCCCGAAGCGACGGAGGATCGACCCGTCCCCCTCAAAGAACCAAGCTCAATCTCATTGTCATTTGCCAGCTGGATGGCCCGCGAAGTCAGAGGCTGCAAATCGGAGCCGCCGTGAATAATACTAGGCAGCGCACGGCCAGAGTCCAGAGAGGCCTTGGTTGAGCCCGCGATGATCTGCCGCTGGTCGATAATCTCATCCAAGAGGAGAAACTCTTGAATGCGCGTGAAGCAACCGAAGGCTCCCATGAGCTGCATAATGGACGAGATGAGCTTGATGAGAGGCTGCGAAACCAACACGATGATGGACAGAGCAGTAAACGCCTCGGCGATGGTAAGGCCTTGCTCCGCTCTTGTCCAGAAGACAGCGGCGGCGATGATGACTATGGGGGTGAATTGCTGTGCAACCCCGGCTGGGAGGGGACGCTTTGTATCAGCATTTCCTCTTGTTCAAGGAACGAAGTTGAGAAGGAGGGGAGGATCTACCGATGACACTCAGAATGGTGACGAGGATTCTGAACTTGGTGGAGAGCTTCAGCTCCGAGACGCGCAGCTTCTGGATGATATCGGAGAAATGGTCCGTCAGGCCCATCATCTTGATGCCCTTGATCTGCGTGAGCATGGACGAAGTGATGGAGACCCGCTTCTGCACGCCTTGGTTCCAGGCCACACGTGCCGGCGCCATGCGTGTGGAGAGTTTGGTTGTGAGAGCAGTGCAGACTACATGGAGTAGGTTTGTTTAGCCTGGATGGATCTTGAAAGAGATGGGTGGTGCGTAAAAGCATTGAGGTATCAACTTACCCAGACCAGGGATGAGCAGGAGAAAACAAGGAGGGCCAACCTGTCGATACAGCAGATACACCCCGACCGGGAGCTCAATGGCCGCCGCCCAGACGTCGTGGATAAAGGTCATGGAAACGGCGATATTCTCAATATCAACGCTCATGAGTGTCACGGGCGCCGAGTCCTTGATGACCGAAGCATCGAGGCTGAGCGTCTTCTTGAAGATGAGGGAAATGAGGCCACCGCGGAAGAGCGTCACAAGCTGGAACGTCATATGCTGGTACCAGCATCTTGAAACCTAAACAGTGTATTCGTTAGCTGAGTGCCGATACCGAGATGGCAGTATTGTACCTCCGCGGGGGACTCACAGCAATTCCACAGTATATCAACGCCGTTGCACCGACGAGACCGCCGGCAACGTTCTTCGAATCTTCTGTCCGAGGGCTCCCGACAAAGTTTACAATTTGGTTGACGAGGAAGGGCTGGGAAAAGATGAATCCCGCAAAAAGGATGCGGGGGAGGACCGCTGCGAGAAAGGTGGTCCTGTACGCCCAGAATACGCTTCTAATGAGGCTCCATTTGCTGTTCTTCGCCGCTGGATACTCTGTAATCAGTTTGACCATCTTGCCCTTCCCTCTTTGATGTGCCGCAGAGAGACAGGTCTGTCAGACTTACCCCTGGACCAAACCCGGTCAAGTCTACCCAGCAAGACCGTAGAATCAAACTTTGGATCAATTGGCCCCAGATCCTCCAACCCGATGAGCAGCCTGAAACCCTGGAAGAACAGACCGTTCAACCACCAGAACAAACTCCGGCTCACAACGCCGGTGGTGCACTCCACCGCGACATCCTTCTCGCTGTCCGGCAAGTAACCGCGCTTCGGTGTCTCCTCCAGCATAAGCATGACGGCCTTGATAGCGAGCGAGGCTGTGAAGACGCCGGCGATTGGCGTGAGGCCGTCTCGGATCCATAGCGTCCTGGCGTGCGCGGTGTCAAGGACGATGGTCAGGACGAGGTACCCGCCGAGGAGCAGGGACGGCCTGACGGAGCGCTTGTGTTCTGTGTAGGATAGGGTGCCTATTGCAATGGCTTCGATGAGGCTGATTGCGCTTTCTGCTGCCGAGACTTTTGTTTTTGGAGCGCTTGGGAGAGACCATAGTGTGATGAGGGCTATTTGAAAGCATAGAAATGTGGTTACGGCTGACTGGAATGTCGTTAGTCTTTCTGCCTCATGAGTTCAAGTACCAAGAGTGAAATAATAATACCAGCTTCAGCCATAGGAGTTTCCCTGAGCGAACACGAATGCCATTCCGGAGGAGCGAGATAATTCGGACTGGGACGAGGAGGATGAAGAGAGCGGATGGTAGAATGGAGAGTATGCTCTGCTCGAATAAGACGGTAAAGTCAAAGTAGCCGCGCATCTGCGGGCCGAAATAGTCGTCGCCCACGCTCATTGCGAGATGTTGATGATCATTTAGACAGTAAAAGTCCTCCAAGCAATGCCGAGTTGTCAGCCACAATCCAAGGTGGAAGATGCGAAACTGGTAAGTTATCCCATTGCGAGCTCGCGAGGAGGTCTGAATGATTCTTATATAAATGAACCGACTTTCAAAACAATCCTTCTCAAAGGAAACGGCGTTGGGTACCCAGCTTCCTGTTTGAGGTTGAAGCTAATGCTGACTGCCTGGACAAGGGGAGGGAGTGTTGCGCGTCGGGGGTTCGACACAACATGGATTGTCCAATCATGACCCAGGGACATATACGAAGGATTTCGTGCTTGCGCGAGCCGTATTCGCCCCGATTGGGGAATTGCGTCTTATCGGGGCTCAGTTCACTCGTGTAACCAACCGTTTCTCGACCGTTGATCTCGTCTCGCGTCTCTTGGGTACATAGATGATACGATGTATAAGTTTCACGTTGTATCAGTGTAATAGGCCGCTTTCATTTATCCGACTATACGCATCGTGCTTGTGTTTTTCCACTCGTGGTTCGGAGTAACATCGTAGAACCACTAATAGACCAGGACGCGATCTGCATTTGGCGCCTTCTCAACATCCAGGATCTGTCGGTTTTAGGGCTGAAATACTTTACCACTTACTGGCCTGTCTGTTAATTGACCAAATTCATCAGTCCACCGCTCATTCGGCTCTACCCTCCAGCCGTTAACCAGGGGGGCCCTATGGTTCCTTCATTGCAAACTTCCGGTTGAATCATCGACTCTCAACCTGCCTCTTCATGCCGAGGTTCTCTCAATAGCGATCACCTCCAACACAAGTCTCGGCCTCCCGAGCAAATCACGATGCCACGGCCTGGGAAACATATCCCTATGGATCACATCCCTCACCTTACGCTGCGCTTCCAGATTCCAACCGCACACTCCTCTTGACGAAGTTCTTGGCTAAGTGCGGTCTGTCGCCCATTTACTTCATCGATTACTTCAACATCCTTCTCACAGGCGTTATGCATCTTGGTAACCGCGTCAATGGTCGACGTCCACCGTAAGCTGAAGGCAGGCACGGCGCGAACATTGATAAGGTAAAAGCTGCCAGAGCTGGAATCGCAGCGCGGGTCGCATAAAGCGAACAGGCAGATACTTCTCTAGATGGCGGCCAGACCTGTTGATTCATCGAGTGAGAGCACGTGGCTGTAGTTTTCGAGGTAAAGGTGCCAGCTTCGAGGTGTACGTGATGCGAGGAGGGCGACGGGAGTGGCCCGAATACTCACCCCTCTCAGTTTGGAATATACCAACTCAGGGTCAGGGCGTGCCTTCCTCACATCGCCACGAGGGAGCCTTTGTATCCCCCCTCAAGTCCATTCCTGTCACCAGCCAGCAGGCGCCCCCTTGGGGGTCAGGTCAAAACTAGCTGGGTGGTGGAGTGGTTGAAGTCCACGAACAGCCTAATCGGTGAAGGCTTTGGGAGGTCCCGTGTTCGAGTCCCAGCATGTGCACCAGAGATGTAGCCCCCATTCGCCACCGGGGGGGGGGGGGGTGAACTCTTTTGTTTTTGTTATTTTCGTAAGTAAAAGTGCCCGATTAAGTAATCCGGCTTTCAAAGAGTTGGGTGTAAGATGAGGATCCCCTCAGAGCTTTCCAAGGTTCTTACACTATGTCGAGGGGAAGGTAGAGGTCGTTATTGCTTGTTTATTGATGAATGTTATAGTTTGCCTAGGTATTTGCCCACCTTAGGCTGATGGTACAAGAGGAGCCCGCCATCTCGAGAGATGACGCGATTGAGCGTCAAAGAAACCCGTTGCATGCTAAGATAGTACCATCCCGAATTAAGGTGACAGAGAGAGATGCCCCCAAGATCCGTACCCGATATGCTGAAACATCACTTACCTCGACGATACAGAATTTGCCCTCAGATTAGCTCTCTCATGTTCTCACGGACAACGGCCGACGGATGTAAACCCGTCGTGCTGTCTGCAACTTTGGCTTATTTGGACTATGGTCATCACCGGGCAATTCTATATCGTGTTTGCTGCGTAGGCCGCTAGGCTGGCAGTTCTCGAAATCTGCAGTCGACATTAGCTCTTCACCTCCCTTAGTACTAAGATGTCCGAGGATGTTGTCAGCTTACCGGCCAGCTCCGATTGAAAACTATATTATGTCCTGTCATGAGCAAGAACTCTCCGAGGCAGACACGGCAAGCACCTTCGAAGAGAGTGCCCGCTGTGACGCACAAGGAGGAAATGCTTCAAGGTAATTTCAGATTGTCGTCATTGCGGGACGAGATTTCGAAGAACGTGGCGCCAGCTGTTGCAGCAAACGCAGCGATAGCATCCCATGCTGGAAAAATCCAGATGGGTGCCTGCTCAGATCTCTGTTCTTTGGTGCTGGTCCTGCCATCGAGAGGAGGGTTCTGTTGCAGAACCGCAGAACCCGATGGTCCCGTAACCGTTTGTGAAAGGTTTCATCAATGCAGGCGGAGAGAGGAAAGGGGAGGGGGGAAGATGTATTTTCTGAATGAGACAATGGGCAAAGAATACTGGTAAAACAGTGTGGAAACAAGATAAGAACCAACTTGATGTCCCGGGAGAAGAGATAGGCGAGGATCGAAAAAGGCAACGTTGAGGAAATCCCCGACGTGCGCCTAGGAGGGGTTCTTGCTATATCTCACTTGAGAAGCTGCGCACCTAGCTAGCCTGAGCCAGAGAGAGGACTAGTAGAAGAAAACGTGAGAGTGACTGCAGCGATTTGTTGAAGTTGAGGCTGGAGAGTAGTTGCTGGGATGAGGTCAGTCAAGATGGCCCCGGTTCTCATCTTCTCCACGAAAGTAGCTTACCTGTTCAAGGTACTGGTTTTTGACAGCAGAAACTCTGATACCACTAGCCTATGGTGAGAATGGACCATTGGAGTTTTTGCGCCCATTCTTTGTGTCCACGGTGGTAGAGCTGGCAGTCAGGAAACCTCTTCGGTTGAAGGTGGAAGAAGCAAGTCGCGGTTGAAGAAGTCCAGTCGGGCGCGCCGCGCGACCATGGGAGCTTGGGCGCCTCCACCTTCATCTTGCACCGCCACATCTCCGGTGCACCACCAGCCACACTTTTCTGTGCGCTGCCCCTTGATCTTGACATGAGCTTGAGAGCCAACTTGAGAGCCAACTTGAGAGTTACTTCAAAACACGTACTGCTGTAGTCTGGATCAGAAACCAAATCGTGACTATTTTTCATGTTCGGTGGCGATATATGAAGCATGAGATATTACCGTAAGAAAGAAAGGCATTGAATGTGCAAGTGGTATCATTGGCATATAAATTGTCGAAACAATGTTGTTATACATAACATCCTGAACCCTCTGCTCCTGTTCACAGCGCCCATCTGCACTAACCAGCAACTCCTTACACCTGAAGCAACGAAGCCAAACCAGCAACGGGCGGCTCAACCTGCACCAACAACTCCCTGGTCCGCCGTATCCTCTCCTTGACGACCTTTTCCTCCGCCGCCCACCTGCTCTCCTCCGTCTTGGTTTCCGTCCAAAACCCAAACGCCGATTTCGTCGGCGCAGCCTGGTTCTGGGCCTCCTCTTCCCTGGCTAAGCTGGCCACCATGGTGGACCAGTTCTGCAGTCCCGTGCCCAGACACTCGCGACATGTCTTGCGGGCCTCTTTGTCGCCGCCGATCGGGCCGAGCTTGCGCAGCTGCTCCTCGGCGAGGTCGACTGCGTCGCGCGTCCAGGCGAGGCCCTCATCGCGGTTCGCGGCCTGCTTCTTGGACGACGAATCCTTTGCGGCAGCAGCGGCGGCGTAGATGATTTCGCCAATGTAGAGATTCAGACCGGCCTCTTCGCAGAGTTCTTTCGAGTGGCGCCATGGCGGGCGGGTGCCGTCGTCCGGTGGGGCGGGGTACCTGGGCGCCTGTGCGAGGTTCCATATCCTCTGCCAGAGTGTCGCGGGCGTCTCTATGGGACGTTCTTGGCCCGGGAGAGGAACCTGGGGCAGGGCGCGGCGGGCACGAAGGACGGAGATAAAGATGGGGAGGGCGGCGTTGACGTCGTCGTTGCGCGCCTTGTGAAGGGCGATGGAGGTGAGGACAGTCAGCACGTTTTCGGACGGCTGCGTTGGCTTCTTGTCGTTGATGGTGTAGGTGCGGGGGTCGACTAGCGGAGGGTCGCTCGGGGTGGTCGCGGTGGCTAGGGTCAGCGCCCATTGGTACATGCGCTCGGCGGCGTCGGGCATTTTCTTGTAGTCGAGGAACGAGGCATAGGCGAGGGCGGCGTCCATCTTTTGGCGGTCGGTGAAGCCCTTTGTGGTGAGGATGCGGAGGTAGTGGTTCTCGGCGGGCTCGTAGGCGACCTCGCAGTCCTCCTCCCGGGGCGCGCTCTCTGCGCCGGGCGGGATGGGTTTCGGGTGCGGGTTAGAAGGGCCCAGGACGACATCGGCGGGGAAGATGATGTTCCTCGTCCGGTCCTTGACCCAGCCGTCGAGCTGCTCCGCCGCCTGCGCCATGAGCATCAGCACCTCGTAGTAGCCCCGCCTCCAGTGCTCGCTCTTGGCCGAGACGTCCTTGCCCGCGTTGCCGATACCATCGATGGACAGAGGTTCGTCGAGAAGCTCGCGGATCGCGGCGCCGTCGATATCTGGGTTCTCCAGCCGAGCCAGCGCGCGACGGCACGTCACGATGACCTCGACCCAGTTCACGCTGTTGCCGGGCGTGTCTCGGGCGGCATTCTTGGCGCCGCGGATGCCCATGCGCGTCAGGTAGGACCACTCGTGCGGCGTCGGGTATTCCTTTTCCAGCCCTTCCTGGTTCAGCAAGAAGACGATGCCGAGAATGCAGAGGGCGCCGCCCCAGATGGAGACATTGTAGCGGAGGAAGAGGCGGCCCTCGTAGCGCAGGAAGCGCTTCTTTTCTGTGGTGAAGTAGCGGGCCCGCGGCGCGGTGACGACGGGGATCGAGAGAAAGGGAAGCTGTGGCCTGCTGCGGGAGGTGAGGGATGTGTTGCTCGTGAAGGGCCGGGTGGTCTGGAGCCGGAAGAGCCTCTGGAGGAGGATTCGGCGGAGGGCTAGGCGCTGGCGCATTGTGGCTGCGGGCCAGGGAAACTTCAGATCGAGAGGGTTGTTATGCTCATGCGATTATAATAATCTTTAGTTTAGAGGGTGTCCTTCGGTGGGTGTGTCAAAGTTGGGTTCTTTGCGGTACGATTAAACATTCGAGAAGCTCAGAGCTTGAAATGACCAGGGAGCTTTCAGACCGAAGTGGTCGATCCATCCAAGATTCGATGCCGAAGTGGGGCCTTTGGTGGCCGGTGCGGTCGGTGGTGTCGGTGGGCGAATGTTCCGCTGTCAGCTGGAATTGGAGGTGGTGATTGGCCACTCACCTATAGCAACTTTTTTTCCTTCCTTGACCGGCGAAGGTGCAATAGACGCCTGACTTTAAGGCACTGCTTAGACCCATCACCAGTGATTTTGAGAGGGTCCTCCTGAAGCTCGTGTAAGACTGGCTTGATAGAAAGCCACTCAAGGCACTCTCCCTGTGTGTCGACTTTTCAATTCAGTAAACTCATCATCTTGCATGATGACTGCGCGAGGTTGAAAATGTCTTCATTCTTCTCTAAAGCGGCGTCAAGTCCGCATGCGCAACTGGCTGCTACCGCTGTGTTATCAGGCGCCACGGTAGCGTGTCTCATCCTCGGCTACCAAGCATTCGAAAGAAAAGAACGAATTCAAGATCTCAAAAAGTCCATCCCTTCTTCTGCTGAAGAGGCTGCCAAGGTTCATATATCTCCTCTATACCATCCCAGAAAAAAACAAGAAACTAATCTCATCGCACAGCTCACTCGGTACGGCGCCGCCTCTCCCCCAGTAGACAAGGAGGATGCCCGCAACCAGGCTCTCGCAAGGAGAGCACAGGCCGGCGACTTTGACGAAGACCTCATCCTCGAACAGCTCGCCCGCAACAGGGTCTTCTTAAAAGACGACGGCCTGCAAAAGCTCCGCAACGCCTTCGTCATCGTCGTCGGCTGCGGCGGCGTCGGTTCCCACTGCACCGCCGCCCTCGCCCGCTCAGGCGTCTCCAAGATCCGCCTCATCGACTTTGACCAGGTGACCCTCAGCTCCCTCAACCGACACGCCGTCGCCACGCTGGCGGACGTCGGCATCCCCAAAGTCCAGTGCCTCTACCGCCGCCTCATCGCCATCGCCCCCTGGGCCAAGTACGAGCTCAAGAACCAAAAGTTTGAAAAGATTGCCGCCGACGCGCTGCTTGCGCCCTGGGCCGAGGACGGACAGAAGCCGGACTATGTCGTCGACGCGATTGACAATATCGATACAAAGGTCGCTCTGCTCAAGTACTGCCACGATCACGGCATTCCCGTCATCTCCTCCATGGGAGCCGGGGCCAAGGGCGACCCTACGCGCGTTAATGTCGGCGATATCGGAGCCAGCACCGACGACGGGCTTTCTAGGGCGACGCGCAGGAAGCTGAAGCTGCAGGGCGTGACTGGCGGAATTCCCGTCGTGTACTCGACTGAGGTCGCCGGCGAGGGCAAGGCTGCTCTCTTGCCGCTCGACGAGGAAGAGTTCAAGAAGGGCCAGGTTGGCGATCTCAGTGTTTTGCCAACTTTCAGAGTCCGGATTCTGCCCGTTCTTGGAACCATGCCTGCTGTCTTTGGATACATCGCCGCGAACCACGTCATTCTCAGCATTTCAGGTAAGAATAGTCATGAAGCGACTGCATCTGTCTCACGGGGGCTAATAAAGCTCCTAGGATACCCCCTCGACTACGTTCCGGCCAAGAACCGCGACAAGCTCTACACCGACATCGTCGCATTCGTTCAGGGCTCCGAGACGAGAATCGTCCACCACAGATTCGGCATCGAAGAGTCCAAGGGTCTCCGCATCCCCGTCTCCCTCGGCGACGCCGCCTTCTTGACTGAGGAGCTGTGGAAGGGACGCAGCGCCGTTACCGGTCTCATCAACAGACTCGTGCTGGTGCGGTGGAGACGGCCCGAGGGCCAGACCAAGCTGCGCATCGGCGAGGGCGCCGAGGAGCAGAAGTGGTCCAACATTCGCTTCCGCGACTTGGTCTGTATGACCAGAGACGAGGCTCTCCGCCACGAGAAGGAGTACCTTAAGAAGGACGATACCAAGTTGGAGGATCTGTACGATGCGGACATCATTGCCCGGATAGAGGCTAGGTTGGAGGAAGCTGTCGAGGTCGAGAAGGATAGACTTTGAGTAGAGAACCCATATTTAGAACCATATCACGAATGCATGTATTATTGGAAAGCTGGCCCTCAACATGTCATTCGGCTGTCTGAATTCGTTCGGTCCCTCTGATGGTTTGTATTCTATGTGCTTCTTCTTCCTACAGCTAAGTTCATAGGAAGCACTGAGAAATTGTTTACGGAGTAGCTTCTCGATCTATAGGCCAGGACAGCGTTCTTATGGTCAACGGCAGAGCCAAGGTGGCTTGGTTTGTTTTCTCATCCCAAAGATTGCATGCCCGCCCTCTTCATGAACGTTAAGGACCCAGAAGATACTGCCATCTCATTTCTGGTATCATGTCCCATATGCTACCATTCCCTACCCGGATTTGTGACGGCCCATCATCATACCTCAAGATCACTCCCAGGCACCACACTGGTTCTCGTTCTCTCCAATTGCAAGCTTCTGAATACCCTCCAGGACCTCGCAATGCTCATGGTCCTCTGGCGCCGTGGCATATCCGACACTCGGCTTGGCAAACTCAGGCATATTCTTCCACTGCTCGTCGAATCCCCCCGCCGCCCACTCCTCCTCCGTCGGCATATAGGGGTCAACGGCGACAACCTCTGGGTGGTGATAGTCGGCACCAGCGAGAGCGACCTCTTGGATCCAGTCGAGCATGGAGACGTGACTAGTGACGAGCATGCACTCGACGAGGTAGACTTCGCCGGAGCTGTAGACCGTGCAGCCGTGCTGCGTGAAAGAAGCCGTGTTCGGATTGCCGCCGGGCTGCGCTATGGGTGTGAGGGCCGGTGCTTCATCTGTGATGTACGCACGAGCGCGGCGAGGAAGGAATTCTTTGAATGGCTCGTGAGTGAGTTCTTCGATGCTTGTTGTGCTACCCAGCAAGGACAAGGTGTTGATACGGTGGCCGAGGGCAGCCCAGGTCTCGGGTGTGTCCAGCACTCTAGTCGCGTGGTCGGCACCGAGGCCTATGCCGATGATATCGAGGCGAGCGTTCGGCGATAGAAGGGATGGAATGACCTCGTTGAGAACGTACGCAATGTGGGCTTCGGGGCTCTCGTTCTTCGGGATTGAATGGTATCTTGGGTTATTGGCGCGGCCGTGGTGAACCATGCTCTTCCGAGGAACAGCCATGGCCGAAGTCGGACTCAGAGCCTTTTTGCCTTCGGGCCACCACCATAACTCGCCCATGTTGGCAATAATGATTCCTGGGGGACAATCGTCGGAAGGCGAAGCTCTCTGGCGGTTGATCTCCCGAACGACCGAGACCATGCTGCCCTTGTTGATGCCGCCGGGGCCGTTGACGACGCGGAGGGCCAAGTTGCCGAGATCCTGGCTGGGCTCGCCAAAGATTACGACTACGCGCGAGGTAGAAGCGAGGTCGGCACTCGTGAAGATGGGGACGTTGGGCGACGTTGGCTCGACGGCGAGAGGTAGGAGGATTTTGTCCAAGCCTTCCTTTTCGAGACGGCCGTGGACGATATCGCGGATTGCTTCTGTATGAGTGTTAGGAAGAAGGCGCAGCCAGGATTACCAGTGATAGGTACTTGCCATTGAAATGAAAGCGCTGGCGATCATTGACGCGACCGTTCTTGGTGAGGTAGTACTTGAAGTAGTAATCGGGTTCCCTGATGTTGCGTATCTCATCTTGATCGTTGATGAAATAGCTGGGAATGTTAGCTCGGGCCGCAATTCATTGTGGGAATGGCCACAAACCCAAGGCCCTTCAAATTAGAGGAGAAGATAGGGTCTTTGGGGAGACCAGACCAGCGGCGGCGGAACATGGCGGCGGCTGGACAGAGACGAGGTAGGGAAGTGTTAGGGTGTAGAAGGAACTATGGCTGAGAAGAGATTTTGTATTAGCGGGCTTGAAGAGACGAGAATCGAGTCTGAGAGAGGTTCAGTGGAAGAGCAGTAGAGGGACCAAAAAGATGATAAGATGAAAACCAAACAGCAGCAGTGTGCAGGAAGGAACTCCAAGCTTAACGAATGAGGCAAGATCCAGGCGGAGTGAGAATTGAGAAGGCAACCACAACTCGTGAGACTTCCTGCCTGGATATGCCAGGCATGCCGAAAGAGTATCATCCGCTGTCAGATAGATCCGATCCACACGTGAACTGAGATGTGTTGTACATTGTTTGCCAGTATTTGTATCTGTACATATGCCTCTTACGGTGCCAACATGCAGCCAAACGCCAATCCCCAAATCGTGTATGAGCAAGCTCGCGAGCGTAGCATGCCGTCCGAAAGGTACACAAGCCCCTTTCATTGTATCTTACAACAGTATTTCCCTGCTTTTACTTTTGATGATCGTCTTCCGCCGCATAGTCGTCTACCAACTGGCCTTCTTAACACCGGGAATGTTACCCTCGTACGCTTGCATACGGAAGTTGAACTGTACTCTCTAGTCAGCCTGCGTGATTCCAAGCCCAACTGCGATGAACGAATAGGCTTTCGACATACTCTCGTCATCTTGAAGTCGCGGAAGACACCCCTGGCCTTGCCACCCAAAATGCATCGGTTCTTGATCTGCGTCGGCCGGGTGTAGCAGTGCATCTGACCCAGCTGAAGCTGCGCCTCGGCGCGCACACGGCCGGGAAGAGTCGTGTTCTGGATAATGTATCGGAGAGCTTGTCTATTTCACGAACTTCGTGTCAGTTCCAATTCGATTGCGTTGTCGGGTTTGAAGGGGGTGTAGAAGGCTTGGCGTTGCTGACCTCTCGGGCTCGTTTTGCATAAAGACCTGGCGCTTCGTGTGGTCACGAATCGTCCGGATGTTGACGAAACATCCCAGATCCAGCTTCTTTGCACGGAACATCGACATTTTGGCGGCGGTTGTGACGTATTGACCGGGGAGATGCTGATCGTGCAGTCGCAAAAGTTGAGCTTTCGGTGCTCGGATTGAAGTTCGCGATCGGTCACGTGGGGCGTTATCTTATCTCTCACCGAACCTCACCGAGCTCACCATCGCTCCTGGAAGGTCACCCCAGCACTGGCAGCCAGGCGATGGTGAGCGTTTTCCACCGTAAATACTTGGTTCAACATAATCCACGTTTGAGCTCACAGAAATAGCATTTTTGGTATTCGATTAGCCGTAAACCCTCCAAGAACGCCAGCCATCATCTCAGGCTATGACTGAACCCCAAACTTTGCAATATGATACAGCAGCGACACAACCTCTCGAAAAACACCAGTGACCCTCCAAAAAAGATCAAAGCAGTTCTCATCGTAACCGAAAAGGCAGCGCGCGGGTTGGCTGCTATAATTGGTCCAAGAGCTTCTGCCGCCGCCTGTTGATCAACTCTTCTTGCACCTCCTCCAGCGTCGGCAGCTCCCAGCCCTTTCCGTCGCCTGTGTCGCCCGGCAAAGCCTCCCAGTCAGGCGGTAGTTGCTGCTTTCCCGTCTTCGCCATGTGCGCTAGGGCCTCTTCCTCCTTTGCGAGCTCATACGCCAGCAGTTCCGGGTCCTCCTCATCTGGCGCGTAACCGTAGTACGCCGCATCAACCTGTTTCCGCAGGTCGTCCCTCGTCTCCAGTGGTTTATCGTTTGTGGCCTTTGCCTTGGCGGCGTCGAATAGCTCCTTCACTCCAGGCAAGTCTCGCGCGCGTCCAAAATATCGATAGCCTTTACCGCCTCCTGGTATCTCTCGTCCCTCTTCGTCGTATATCTTGCCGCCTCCGCGCATGTAATTAGGTCCACCAAGATTCCGTATTTGTACCTCCCACATGTACTTTTCCCTCATGAGCTTGTTGATTTCGTCGTTGAGGTCGCGGATCTGGTAGTCACTGAGGGCGGTGTCTTGAATCTTGGAGACCTTGCGCGAGATCTCCTTCAACACCTGGCCACGCCACTTCTCACATGACGGTATCGAATCGACTTCGGTGATTACTCTTGGTCGTCTTGTCCGGCCGATGTCGATAATGCCCAGGTCTGCTGCTTGCGCTTCGCGAAAGCGAAACAGCATGGACTGCGCCTTTTCCGAATTTCGCGCCTGCACCTATTAGCATTTTCCAATCTGGGCATAAACAGGAGGGTCACATACCATTTTGAGAGCTTTGGCGACGGGAGAGAGCGCTGGGCTTCTTGCGAATGTGGTTTGGTTTGGCTCTGAAGAATAGGGCGTCGTCGTCTTCTGAAAGCTTTCGGTCGTCAATGTTGCGCGCCTGGCACGGGCCTTCCCCCACACCCAATCAGCCACGCCTCCAACAGAAATATGGAGCCTTCCACTGCGGGCGAGGTACGCTGTACTTTGTACCACACTAAGGTAATCGTACAGCAGTGCTCCCACCACTACTAAACCACCACCAAGTGACGTGCGAGCTTCACACACTTTTGGAGCTGTCCAACTCCACGACAAGCTCAAAGCACCACACCCCATCACCATGCGCCTTACGACGCTGCTTCTCGCAGCTACGTCGCTCGTCGGCGCGGTGTTCGTCGATGAGGTTGGCGATATCGATTACCACCACGAGCTCATCGGCGTCCCTCAGGTCGAGACCACCCTATTCCATAAGCCCCGGCGCGACGATAAGGCTTCGTTACTCTACACCCTCAGCGATGTTGGCGTCTTGGGAGCCGTCAATCCCAGCAACGGCGCGGTCGTCTGGCGCCAATCCCTGACGGGCAATATCACGAATGGAGGCGGACACTTGCGAGCGGCCGAAGACGAGGATTGGGTTGTGTCTGCGTACGGAAGCTCAGTGCATGCCTGGAATGCCTTGTCCGGCAGGAACGCCTGGTGGATCGACTTCGTGGGCACAATTAAGGATCTGGAAGTCATGGAGATGACAGAAAACGGACGCAAGGATGTGCTGGCCCTTTTCGAAGAGGAGGATGGCTCTACCGTCTTGAGAAGACTCAACGGTGCTGACGGAACTGTCGTTTGGGAGAACAAGGATGCCTCCAAAACCATCCCACTCCAGGTATCCAACAACATCGAGAAGATCTTTGTCGTGAGCCTTTACGGAAACGACGGTATGTGGGCCGTGAGAGTTTCCGTCCATGACACTCTCACTGGAAAGCGCATCGACGACATCAGCCTCGGCAGCAAAGGCGACGTGACGGACAAAAGAGATGTCATGTTCGTTGGCGCCAACTCCGCGTCTCCTATCGTCGCCTGGCTCGATAGCGATCACACGAAGCTCAAGGTCAACGTTCTGGGCACCAAGTCGAAGCAGGAATTTGCCCTCCCGTTCCCCAGGACCCTTGATGTAGCTATCCATGCCCCGCATCACCTCAACGCGGAGCCGCATTTCTTGGTGCACAGCAGATCTTCTGACAGCCACAAGGGCGAGGTCTACCACGTCAACATCAAGAACAATGCCGTCACCAAGCACCACGAGCTGCCTGTGCTTCCTGGATTGGGCGCTTTCTCGACTAGCTCGGAGGGCGCCAACGTGTGGTTCACGCGCATCACCGAGGAGGAGGTTATTCTTACCTCGTCAAGCTCGCATGCCATCCTCGGAAAATGGGCCTTCAAGGAAGGAAAGGAGAGATTCGCGGCTCTTCACGCCGTGTCTGAGGTTATCAGGAAGGCAGCTGACAACTTTGCTGTCCGCTGCGCCGCTGTTACTACGCTGGATGACTGGATTTTGGTTCGCAACGGTGAGGAGGCCTGGGTGCGCCCCGAAGGTCTTACCGGAGGTGTCGCCGCGGCCTTCGCAGAGATCCCCGAAAGCGAGGACCTCGCCAAGACCCTCGAAGCAGAGGCACACGACAACGTCCTGTCTGCCTACATCCACCGTGTCCAACGTCACTTTGATGATCTCGCCTATCTGCCCGACTACCTCGCCTCCATCCCCCAGCGTCTGGTCAGCAGCATCACCGGAGCTGAACTCTCCTCAAAGACGGATGGTCTTTCTCGGGATGCCTTCGGCTTCAACAAGATCGTAGTTCTGGTGACCAGACGCGGCAAGCTTTTCGGTATTGATATCGGCAAGCATGGCAAAGTTATCTGGAAACTTCACGCTGTCGATATCGCCCCTTGGAATACCTGGGATATCAAGGGCATCTTTGTTGAGGACGCCAAGTCCACTGTCACTGTTCGAGGCCACTTTGGCGATTACGTTATAGCCAAGATAGACACTGGCAAGATGGTTGACTCCATGCCTGAAGGCTCCTGGGTGCAAACTCAAGCTGCCGTCATTGTCGATAGCCCTTCAGGCCCATGGCTCGCACCCGTTGGAGTTGGAGGCGCCATCGGCGACGTCCCTGCTGCATGGATACCCACACAGACTGTCGTCGTTCGTGGCTTGAAGGGCGAGCTGAAGGGCCTGACCTATATCGAGGAGGAAGGCACTGGCAAGGAGCAGATCGCCTGGGAGTTCTCTTCGCCAGCAGGATTTGAGATTGTCAACATCGCAACCCGCCCCGTCCACGATCCTATTGCTTCTATCGGACGTGTCCTCGGCGACAGACGTGTCAAATATAAGTACCTGAACCCCAACACCATTGTTGTTTCTGCCTACAGCAACGCCAAGTCTTCTCTCAACGTCTACCTGATCGACTCGGTCTCGGGCGCTGTTCTCCACTCCACCACCCACGAGGGAGTTGACGGCAACAAGAATATCGAATGCACACTCGCCGAGAACTGGTTCGCCTGCTCATTCTTCGGACAGTACTCTCTCAAGGATGATGCTGGTCAGCCTCTTTCTGGACAAACTCTGAAGGGCAACCAGATCGTGGTCTCCGACTTGTACGAAAGCGAGTACGCTGATGACCGAGGCCCGCTTGGTGATGCTGCCAACTTCTCCTCTACCGAGCCCGTCGATACCCCGACCGGCGTGCCCCTGCCCTCAGTGATCAGCCAAGCCTGGATCTTGTCTGCCCCTCTGGCCGCTCTTGCTGTCACGCAGACTCGCCAGGGCATCACTAGCCGCCACGTCCTAGGCTACCTGCCAGAGTCCCACGCCATTGTCAGTCTTCCTCGCCAGCTCCTAGAGCCGAGACGTCCAGTCGGACGCGACCCGACTCCCGCGGAGATGGAGGCCGAGGGCCTGATCAGGTACCACCCCGCCATCGAGATCGATCCCAGACAAGTCATTACCCACCAGCGCGACGTCATTGGTGTGCAGAAGATTATTACCTCGCCTACCGTTGTGGAGAGCACCAGCTTGGTCTTCTCCTACGGTGTCGACGTCTTTGGAAGCCGTGTCGCGCCTAGCTTTGCGTTTGATATCCTCGGCAAGGGCTTCAACAAAATTAGCCTGATTTCGACTGTCCTTGCGCTCACTGTCGGTGTCGCCGTGTTGGGACCCATTGTAAGTTTTTTCCTCCCGCAAACGTCTTTTTTGATCATTCGCTGACAAAAGGGAATAGGTTCGCAAGAAGCAGACCAACTTGCGTTGGGCGTAGATAAAAGTATTGTACGATATCATGATATAATAGAGTCGTTTGAAGTTTTGCGTTGACGTCCCTTCATGTGTTCCTCTAGCCACCGCTACTCACTGTCCGTGGGTGCTTTTGTCGACCTCAAGTTGTGGAATACGTTGCTATTAAGATTGTACCACTCTACAAGCTCTTTTGTGACTACCTGGGGGTGTGCCTAGATGTAGACATAGTCCTATGCTTTGCTGTAGGCTGTGTTCATGGACCAGCTTGCACAATTCATGCTGCGCGATGCACACATATGAAGTGAAAGTCTAGACCACCCTGAGAAGGGGTACATCAGTTGTCATCACAAAGCTCGTCACTATCCAATGAATTAGTGTCCTACTAGCTCAGAGTGTTGATCTTTGCAATGGTCTACATATCATGAACGCTTGGAGCATTGATGGTGGGAAGTGTTCAACATAGCCACTTGCATCCTGGACATTGTCGAAAGCT